TGATTCCGAACTTAATATTAATTGACCGATTAAGGGCAGTTGCTCTGATTGGACAAAAAATTGTTTCATATCCACCCACGACGGAAATTCAATTTTTTTGGTCTGGATGAGCATTGGTAATTGACAGTAATTTGCTGATTAGTTTCGTATTTTCAATCAAACTGGCGCCACTTAGTCATTATGGCTGTAGACATCTATGTACTTAGTATATTTTATGACTCTTAGACGAAGAAATACAAAATGTTTGCGATTAGTAAAATTACAGAATAAATTTAAAATATTTTTGGCACAGTTCTTAATCATCCTTATTTATTTGTTTTCAAGAATCAAAAAATCATAGGATAAAAATTATGAACATTTCTAATTACATAATCTAAAATAAACGTGGTTAAGTATAAAAATTTATAACAACTATATTTTTAATAACATTAATTTGTTTATTTATCTTTGTTTTTATGTCAAAGTAATGTGATGGTATATTATGAATTAATAATTGATTTATTAAATCCCAACTCCAAGCAAATATTTATATTAATTTTGAAAACATCTTCAACTTTATCTGACAGTGCTACTTTCTGTCTGTGATGTTACAAATAATTTAGTGAACATTAAACAAATTAAAGAATTTCAAGTTTTGCATAATTCTGTATCTCCTTGGAAAACACTCGTTCATTTGTACACATCAAATTGTGAATCAAATTTTAGAACGGTCTTAGAACAAAGACAAGTTTGAAATGCATCGCAGATAAGACTTAAATAATTTATTTCGTAATATTACTCTCATTATTAAGAGAATTATGAATAATAAATCCATTTTATTGTTTCACATTTTCAATGAATAAATTAACAAAGTGTGAGAATTATACCACATGCGAAGCCATTCAGTTAATTTTTAAGATAAGAAGTTTTATTCTTACAACTGTTTGTTTTTCGTCACCTTCAGCATACCTTCCTTGAAGTAACACTCATCTTCAATGATTTTCTTATCTGCAGTTTTCTTTAATTAACATTTATATAAACAAGAAATGAACCATAAATGAGATACTCAAGTTGAGTCAACAATTACCTTTTTGTTAATCTTTGGTAGAAAAAGTTACAAGATGTTGGTTGCCTTTACAAAAAACTTTCAACATGACTGATTCCCAAGTGGTAACAGCTAAATTTCAGACATTGAGAGGAAATCAAGTAGCCCCTTTTTCCGACACTTCGCTACTTTGAAAAGAAAATCGGATATCACGTCTCTAGAAAAGTCGCAAGCTTTTGTGTCCCCAATGCAAACGAATACATTTTCGCGAGAAAAAATGAAGAGAAGTATCTTCCAATTAACGAAACAATGGTTATTATCAGATAAAATGCCTCTCGTTCGTTAGCTTCTACACATATATGGCTCGGTACAAAAGTGACTCACAATCTCAATTTTTAATTACAGATATACAAACCGAAAAAATAGGCAGGTCAGGAATTCGCTTTAAAAATAGACCGCTTACAATCGAAAGCCGTGCCTGTATGACGCAAGATGACATTTCTAAACACCCTTGCATTCTTTTCCATATTCATTTGAAAGATTTTTACCGTTCGGAAAAGGAAATGAAGGAAAATGTCCTGCAGGACTCACCTTGAGGTACGATCCGTAGTATTTCGTGACGTAAGGACTGTCGCATTGTGACAGCACCATAATTTCCTGTTGGATATCTTCGATTTCATCTTCGGCTTCTTCTAAATCTATGATCTTGATGGCGACCACCTGCGTTGTTCGATTGTCGATACCTTTAAACACTTCGCCGAAAGATCCTTTACCGATGCGCTCCTGTTTCGTGAATATCAGTTCTGGATCGACCTTCTGTAACAAAAGGACAATTCGATTTTCAATTTGAAGACAAAGAAAATCCTCACCGAACATACGGCGAGGTTAGCATCGCCCATAGGCGCACACCGAGAACACTTTTACAAATCAACTAGACAATTAAGCGCATTGTCAATTTTTGACGTCTTCACTGTAGATATTTAACAAAATTTTAGGTTTTGGATTGGAAAAATAAAACTATTTTGTAAAGTATTTTAAATACATTGACATTTTATAAGATTTTAACTCAGACTGATTGATTGCCTCTCCCAAAAAATGTTGAAAATTTTGTCATGAATATTATGTTAAATTTTCCTCTTCTTCCTACTGACTTGGTGTAGTTTATTGAGATTTTCAACACAACCCACGGGCGAAATTTTCATAAACGATATGATTGTCGGCGCAATTTTGGGGTGCCTTTAGCTATATACTATTTATTTCAACGGAAAAGTACGATGGAAATGTAAATATTTTATAAGTCGGAGTACAAACGAGATCCATTGCTCATACTTGAAACATTTTATTTTGCATAAATGTCGGTTTCGGCTTGGGAAAATAGCATTATTTAGTAGTAGTGGCTTTCCTTTTGTGTTTCAGTTTTCTCAATGACTGTTTCTAATTTCAACTTATCAAGAAAAAAGTAACAGATTGGAAGTTTGGAAAGAAACCACCATTATTTCAATATATAAATACCGATCGAAAGAGATGCAATACAGCAGGTTAAATTACAAGTAATTTGTGACAAAACCACTTTCACTAAGGAAACCGTAATTATTGGTTTATTATTTCATTTTTGAATGTTACATAAATGAAAATAAACAAACCTTGGCAATAAAACTGTAAAGCGAATATGAATAATAAACTTGAAAGATTACACACCATTAGAAATAAGTAATCACGATTGCAATTATCCTCTTATTAAAATTCCTTCGAGCTTTAAATATAATTAAAAATAATAGTTTAATCATTTAAAATGTCAATAATTTAATATTCCTCCATCAAACTCTTTGAAATCTTCTTAAGAAATAAAAAAGAAAATTCTTTAAGTAATTCCTCACTTTTCAGGATTCCACACAACCTAATTCCAACACAAACAGAAGTTATTCTATGTAAAATAGCACAATCTGCGCATTTTTCCCACCCCATCAATTTAAAATTTTGGCGAAATCTCTATAAAGCCAAGTCGTCATCTGCTTATCTTTTTATTACAGTGATTTTCTTCTAATTTATGTCTCGCTTTAAAAGTGCATTTTCCGCAAACGCTTGGTGGCACTTATCCAAAAAATTCCGCCCTTGAACTTTCAACCCGTCGTTTATGAATGAAAATTATTCAGGATTAGAAGATCGCCGATATTAATAGGCCCGCAAACAAAAGCTTGATGGTGACAAATTATATTGACATCGCGTTATTTTTATCTTTTTAGGTCAGAGTGAAAAAAGGCATGCGGTTCGGAGGGAAAAAATCACTTTGCGGTTATACCGAGTTTATTAACCTCGCTATTATTTTTCTAATAGAAAAGAACACCGTGAATAAAGTTCGTAATCGTTGAATGATCATGCCGTTATGTATACCTACTCGTACAATTTTTCCAATCTGAAGTTTTACTTTTACCCGCTTGTATAGACTTGACTTTCTCTTTTCGCACTGAAATATCCTTTAACAATATGATACTTAAGACAATTTCAAACGCCTGCCATACACATACTTAATCTTTACATAATCTCGAGTGAACGCTCATGTCTTAATACATTTACATACAATTATGAAACGTTGACGAGCCAATTTGTATTCATAGACCGTACGAGAAAAATAACCGGAGCAAAGGCCCACTTACCCGACTCAAAAAGCACAAAACACGCTTTCCAATTCAATAAAAGAGGAAACAATATTGGCTAGCGCGCCGAGTGCGTCCTTCACCATAAATCACAACATCCTGGACGCGCCAATAAAAATTCATTTAAATGCTTTAACAGGGGGTCTGTTAATAACGCACCCGATTACTTACTGATGCGAAAGGGTTGGCCCTGCCACCCGCTTGTGGAAAAATGCTGACATCGTTGGGAGCGGCCCAAGAAGCCGGTCTGGGATTCCATTTTTTATTACCACTTAAGAATCCCTTCGATTCGATAGACGAAGGGTGTCTTAAAATATTGTTTTTCATTTGTCCGTTATTACTCCACATGTTAACCACTGCCGACGCCACTGTCTCACTTGTTTATCACCAACATGCTCTGAAATGTACACATCTTGTCACGGGAAAAAGGAACGCGGTGTGTGTGTTCAACAAATTATAAATTATTCGTAGTGTGAATAAGAGGATGAGATACGTCGCGACTTTAATGATTTAACGTACTAAGCGAATTTTACTCTAGGAACGCATTCCATATCTTATCACGGCAATTTTAGGCGATGATAAAATGTTCTAATCCCACATGCTATCAAATAGTCAACTTTTAAACAAAATGTAATGTAGTGCACACTTCACTGATGTCACTTTTGCAAAAATTCAAAAGAATGTTCCATAATTTCCTTCTAATGAAATTGTCAAAAACGTATTAGTAACAACTAATCGATGAACAACGATATAGCCAAATTGTTTTCATCACACAAATCTGTTAAGATAATAAATATAACAAAACGAAAGACTAAATAAATGTCAGATAATTTCGATACAAAGATTGATGATCCAATTTAATCAATGTTGGAGGCCTCCCATTCGTCGTGTATATTGAAAGAAAAAAAAAAAAACTAATTGAAAAATTGCTTGCATTTGTCTTGTTGCTTAAGCCTCACACTTGTTTTAACCAAATTTTATATTTATTAACAAAAATGCAAACTAATAATAATTAAAAAAATAAAATGGATATCTAAACTTTATTTTAATAACAATATCTAAAACAAAAGAAGAATTTATAAAATTTCTTATCCGTAATTCGCATCTCTAGCACTCTCTATTTTAAATTTCAACAATGCTTGAACTTAGGTTTATCTCTAATTCTCCGTAGTCTGTCCCAATAAATCGAATTTTTGGTTAATGTAGGAAATCAAAGTACACAATTTTTGTTATGTTGCATGAATCTTTCAATAATAAATACCACGAAATACCACATGTTTTGTACAAATGCTAAAATATCCAAAAATTGATCTTATTAAAAAACTAAGAAACTTAGAAACCATGGTTCATTTTACAATTTCCAAATAAAAACTATTTTATGTAACTCCCCTCTTAATTACTTCAAATGGGAAACTTGTCACCAATTCACTTTTACTCTTAATTTCCTGACATTTCCGACCAAAAAAACTAATACCGGTTGTAACTGCAACAGAATTTATTATTGTAATAAATCCACAAGAACTCGTGTGTGGCTATTTTTACACCAACTAATCGCACAACTATGATATCCCATTCATTCGATCCTGACACAAACAAGAAACAGTTGATGCCACTTTAGTTACAAAATAAAACAATTTTTCCAATCACTTTTCAAAAAAAAAATTAATTTTTCAAGACAACCAGAAGCTATTTCCACCCACAATGCAAATGAATTTCTTTCCCATAAATTTTCAGTTACGACACCCGATCCGTGTGTAGTTTTTCGAAAACGTATTCACAAAGGTGAGGCCATCAGAATCTTGTAAACAAAATTCTTTTTAGTATAATAAAAATTTTAATAACACAATGTTTGAACAAACGTATGTAAATATGTACATTGTACAACTGTTTGCACAATAACGAAGCAATAAAACTAAACCACATACACACCAGTGGCAAACACAAACTTAATTATGGGAAATTTCGAAAAACTGCGACTTCAGGAAATCTCTGTCTGAACATTGGCATCAAAATAATTTATAGAGCGGAACGTCATCTAACTATGACAACTGCATTGGATGCACACCGACCCTATTAACCCATCACGACTATTTCTTCGCAAATTTTCTGCGAAAAAACACGAAAATTTCCCTCTTATTAACAATCTGTTGCACACCTACACTTTCCACGTTCACACGACGCGTCTCGACGCCCGCAACTAAGATTTTCGCCGGCGCATTGTCTTCGAGCGGTGTGTCCACGACGACTAACCAACGTAATCGTCGTTGTTTCCAAACAAAACCCACGAAGTATACCTTTCACTTCCAACGAAATACGACCGACAATGTCGCCGTGCATCGGTGTACTGCCTTTTCGTATGCCGCGCCAGCCGTACGTGGGCCTCCGTCGAATTCATTCAGCATGAAACATCAATCGGGTGTGTGATCGAAATGTTAATGTGAAGGATAAGAGCTTTAAAAGTTCGACGGGAACCGTTAGATTTGACCATAAGTGGACTATGGCCTGCGTAATTCTGCCCTAATTAGCGATATTGGCTATTGCATCCGTCGCAAATGCGGAAATTTGATTAATGAGAACACGTGGCAATGCGGAATTGGACAATCTGAATAATCGTATGCGGACTTCCCACAGAAACGATATAAAAATACAATGGGAGGCGACAATTCGTGTCTTTAAAGTGAATGGAGAGATAAATAAAACACAAAAAGACGACTACATTAACACATTCTTACATTATGCGTAAAATTTTACTGGCAGTTTGACTTTTAAAGACATTACATGATAATAACATAACATGGTGTACTATAAACGTAAGTTAAATAGCCATATATCGGCACGTAGTCACAATGGACTTAAGAAAACAAAATATACCTACAATGCATAATAAAGAGAAAAACAAGTGTACAAATGTTCTTAATCAAAAATGTATTATCAACGAATTAAAAAACAATATAATCTCTAAGTAAAGGAGTTAAACCACTTCCAGGCTTAGTGTAGGTACCTAACTAGTAGCTATGCTTTGTGTTATCAAAGTTTTGACAAATAACACTTGAAAAAAATTGTTAAAATAGTTTTATTTCATTTAGTAGGTATGTATTTTTTTATAGAGACAAATTGTAGGTACCTATATAGTCGGAGAAAAAAAAATTATCGTCAGCGTCGAGACAACTGATTTCTAATTTAGGTATATAATAATAAAATATGTACTTGTATTATGAAAGCAGGAACTTGAACTTACCTGACCTGAACAAAAAATATCATTCCATTTTAACTAATTTCATAGATTTTTAATATTATGTTAAAAAACATACAAGCTTCAGTTCTGGCCTTTATTATTTCAAACGTAATGAGATAAAAGTTACTTCCCTTACTAGTTTACATACACAAAGTGAAAACAACACATTTTTTATGAATTATGATCAGAACAGAATATGTTTTTTTGTTTTAGAAAGAACAAGATTTTGAACGATAACCATGCAATTTCCACCAAATGGCGCCAAAATAAATTTAGAAATTTTAGGCCAACTATAAATTTTCAGAGTAATAAACGCCACACAAAATGCTAGATCTGCCACCCACAACAAGAGTCAAATGTCAACATCCATTCGACCAGCCGATGTGCTAATCCTTATTAACATTCAAAATACTATCGTCATATGGTCCAGTCTTCCTGAATAAATTTAAATTAATTGACCATTTATTACTATTTCCGATTTTTACCATTTTTGGCATACTGAAACACAATCCTACACTCAAGAAGTACAATCAATCATGGTTTATTTAAACAAATTTCGCTACCATCTTTGTCATGGTATTAATCACCGACAATGTAAACGATCCGGGATAATTTAAACATGTGATTTGTAAAACACGAACCTTATTTACACGTTTATCAACTTCCTAAATTAAAACGGCGATTACGCCTCTCATTCCTTCGGCGGTGCTTTGCCCTTTAAACATTTCAACAATTGACGAGGAGACACATAAAGTCAACGAACGGCAAGTGAATCATGTAGTTACATTTAAGGAAACCGTTTATTATTAGGCAAACGAAAGCCCCCACACTGTACAACTTTGCAAAAAAAGATCATCTCAAGACAACAGTCACCACCACTGACCAGAATATAAATTGAATTGAATTGATTTACAGTTTCGCTTAAAACTGAATAATAGATTATCTATAATCACAACACTCGATAGGCACTCCTTGTAAATAATCGATAGATAATGAATACGAAGGTGTGAAACTCCTCTTTTGGTCGCAAAAGAAAACAAAGCTTAGAAATTTCAAAAATCAACATGAACTTGGAACAGTGAAATCGATCACAGACCATGAAACAAAGAAGTGAATAATGCTTTGACAAGCAAACAACAAAGGCTCTGCCTCCAACACTTGAAAAACACTGAAAAAATAGATTAAAGGATTTACTTCTAAATCCCTGAAACCCGACGAGTTTTAATCACTGCCAATTTATCCCCGCGTTTTTCATTAAACCCCTTCAAAAAAACTCGGAAAGAATGTCGCACTTGCTCGCATTTCCTACACACATTACATAATACTCGGAATAAATATACAGGAAATGCGTTGTAATTTGCAATAACGGTTCAAACTAAACGTACACAATTTATCTCCTTTTTTACTTTTACTCCATCACTTATTTTCGTGTTTTTCCTAGTTTCAAACATTTATGTGTACTAACTAACAACTTTCAAGAAACGTAGGTGTCTCTGTTAAAAATACGACCCAGTTCCTTTGGGTCGTCATACCGAGGAAATTAACGTTTCATATTTTTAAACATTGATCTTTTCCACAAAGAACGAGAAATCAAACGGAAAAATATATTTATATACAGGCTGTTCGGTCCAAGTCGCCCCAGCTGGTAACACCTAAACTTCTTTGTTTATTGTTTTCTGAGTGCATTATGTAAAGTGAAATGTAATAAATGTAATTTACCGTATTTTTCATGCCAATGATTATTGTTTCGAGCAAAAAAACATAGGTGTTCCATTTGAAAAACTAAATTTGGTAGCATTTCCGGCTACACCTGATGTACCAAAAAAATTTGATGCCTTTACTAAGAAAGCCAGGAATGAATAGTATTATTTGAAATTTTTTTTGCTAAAAAAAGTAAGTTTAGGTGTTAACGGCTGGAGCGACTTGGACCGAACACCCTGTATATTAGTTCGAAAAATACATGAAATAATTTTTACCAACTACTCCAGTCGTCAGGTATCTCTTTGAATTGTGCTATACAAATGACAATTGAGTAAAATCATGCGTGAATTTACAAATTGCGCTGGTGTGATTACCACACCCAAATTCAGCTTATTTAGGCCAAAACCAAGCAATTCAAGAAATCGAAGAACGGCATTATAGCTTGTGCTGGTCGATTTAAGGAGCGGAAGTGTTCCATCCCCGGTGATTAGCATACAATCGTGTCTTGATCCAGTTTCTCAAATGAGGTAAAATACGGATGAACGCATTACGTCCTATCTTGTCATGTCCTATTCTTTTTTTAGTCATTTATAACGCCTTGCAATTATTAATTGGCAATTGTATAATTTCAGAAAGGTTACGACCCGCTTGAATGTTTTGCAATGGCTCAACCTTTGAAATTTTTTACGAGACGTAACGTGACTAGTCTTAAAAGGAATCTACTGGCTAGACCCGCGACCGTTTCTCAAGAACCTCGCGGAAAAACTCTCGAATATTTTCGATCCGGTTTCGGTGTTACGGTTACTTTTGTCGATATTGCTTAGACGGTAATTAATCGTCCTGTATGCCACACATTTCGCACCGTGAACCTTGGAATTCAGTTCCACCCAGTTTTCTTGTTCGCTCGTTGTATACGAATGGTTGGACACGTGAAGTCAGGCGAACTTACACGACATGCAAGACAATAAAATTGCTTCAAAATTACGATCGGCTTCCTAGAGCGCCATGCATCACGCCCATGTAGGTTGGCGAGGTCGGCGATTTTTCTTTCCACAATGGACCAAACTCCGCGTTTTGATCAAGCAGAACGCTGTATCGAGACCTTGATTTCTGTGTTATCGATGACAAATCAGTTTTGTTTCGTTGTTGCCAAAACTGTCCAACCGTAAACTCACCACGTGTGCCAAATCAACAAAAGAGAGCTTTCAGAACAGGCGGGCGTGGCTTGTCACTTGTACTCCGACTAAACGCATTTTTTCGAAAATCAAATTGCTTTCCGACAAAAAATAATTTTATTTGCAACGCATTCCTCCGCTATTACACCTTTTTTCTCATCTCATATAAATTGCGGTGAAAGGTAGACAAACATCACTTCATGCCAGCATAGCACTTTGCGGATGGCACGTCAACAATGCAGCAAAAACTAACAAACTTAGAACTTTTCCAACAAGACGCCATCTGGTTCGTACGTCTTGCCGTTTGCTTCCGATGCCGAAAAACCTATTCACCTCTCACGTCACGCGATATGATTGCTTTTCGTGACCTCATGCTCTAGAGAGAAATGCCGTCACCTATCACGAACCGAAGTTATGTTTCGCGATGTTAAAACATCGGCGTTAATCGACTAGACAAGATTTAGAACCAAGAGAAGTTTGAAAAGATGTTGCGGTTTCCGGTGATCCGGATGATATATGTATAAAGACGTCCAATTGATTTAAAATTGACACTTGGAAGAGAAATTGTGGCAGGTAATTTTGGCCAGAATCCAACAGGATAACTTTATTTTGCTCTTTTTAGAAAGGAGAAAAGTCGGATTTGATATTTTCTTGCACATTCATACAAAAAATTTGCTTTTTGGTAAAGGAGGTATTGTTTGGATCTGGATTTGTTCCAGATTTGCTCAGTTCGAAGAAGTCAATGGTGATAAATAGCACAATCATTTGTTAGGCTAGTAAATCCATAAA